ACCTAGAACCTGAAAGTCAATGTACCAAAACATCTAAAGTTCAACAAGTCTAAACAAGATGGGATACAACCCCAACTAATGAACTAATCAACTAACTAGAAAGTCTAAGTCCGAAATGTGGACATAAACAAAATGAGAACTCATGGCAGGCAGGAAGAATTGGCTCACCCTTGAATTTGAAAGACGATCACTGATCTTCTAAACGAGGTCTGTCAATAGCCACTTGAAGATGCCCTGTACTCAACAAAGAAAGAGCAGGTGAAGTAATAGTACACAACCACAGTGTACTGGTAGGATCATGCAGCTATCCCACTAAGTGCAACATATATAAATCAATACAACAATTAATCACATGCATATATCGAACATATAAAAATATTATCAACATTTATGAACAACGAACAACTTCACATTTCTCAAGATACACAATTATGACAAGTCATTGGTCCTCTCATGGAACCAACCAAACATTACCATATCGAAACGTGGTACCCGATCCAAAGATTATGCCGAAACGTGGCAACCGATCACATAATTATGCTGGAACGTGGAAACCGATCCAAGTTTGTGTGTCGGAACGCAACACCTGATCCATTTAACAAGCCACAATCACAATCACAATCACAAAGTACACTCTCATAGTCATACATTAAAGTCATGATTCATGGAATTCATCAATTATATATCCTCATTTACAACAAGAGTGATCAATAATGCAACATCCGCATGTATACATGTATCATAATGAAGCAAGACAAACATACATCACACAATCATAGAATCACAACCATCACCTACCTCGAAACAAGTTTGAAACCCTAAAAAACTTGATCCTTCCCTTTACGGATTTGTTCCCCTTGTTCTTCGTCTACAACCAATCATAATAACACGGGAATCAATAAACAATCACTAATTACCGGAATTACTAACAATTCTAACAACCCTAGATCATGCCCATGATTCTAAGTATCCAAAATAGGGTTGTTTCCACCATAGATTCTATATCAAAACCCTCCTCCATCGATAATTACCCATTAGATTACGTTCTACGGATTGAAAAACGGATTCGGGGAGTGAAAACCTTACCTTTAGCCTCAAGAATGGTGGAAAATTGTCAAGAAAACCCCTGGGGTCGTTCCTTAGCTCTCAAAAGTTGAAATGTACAGAATAAAATGTTTCTTGGGTTTTATTTCAGACTTAAGTCGCATCTGTCCTACTACGGCGGGACCCGTCCCGCTACGGCAGCATGCACAGATACAGAATGCTGGAATTTGAATTCCAAGCACCCATTTCACAATACACCTTCGATCCTTAACATTCAAAAACCACCCGTTCACGCTAAGTTCATTTTTGGGAGTTCTACTGGCCTGAATTTCATTCCGTAAAGTCGTACGAGTTCCTTAACGTCTTAGCTATCTATTCATGAAATCAAAATCATAATTAAATCACCTAGTTGTTACAGATTTCCCTAGAATTTACTGACTTCGATTTCGTCTAAATATGGACTAGGTTAGGAAATTTCAAGTTACTACCAAAACTTTTCTGACCCCAATTCTTTCTCTATTGGCTTTTCCCTAACAACAGAATCAGGTCGTTACAACATTATATATACATGTTTATGATTAATCATTTTTTTGAAATTATTTTTTGTTGCTTGTCGCTAATTTTTTACTATATTTTATGTAAATGAAAACTTGGCAATATATAATCAACAGGAATTATGGTGCAGTGGTGAGACATTCACTTTTAATTAGAAGTGTCATGTTCGTACCTAGGCTACAAAGAAATATTGTTGGAAGCGTCACCCCGAAATGAGCCCTTTAGTATGTGCGCGATCTGAATTAGTTGGGGGGTTCAATATGGGCTAAAAAAAGATATCTTGACTGTATTTCATGCAAATAACACTCAAGGCTCGACCAAGTCTAGACATATAAATTCTCTTTTAAAATTTAGTAACATAGATTTGTTCCATTTCTTTGGAAATTAGGCTACCCTTAGATTCTTCCTAAATGTCTAAATCAACTTACGTACACCTCAACCAATTTTATGAGATACCTTCCGCCTACTATTGTATTTCCTTTTTTTAATTGAGATCCTATCAACAATTGGGCAATGTCTACAAATTTAAACTATTCAATATTGGATGAAAATGAGAGAGTATTTACTATGTATATGCTAATGAAATAGAATTTTAAAGTTTTTGAAGCTTCATTTACAAAGGTTTGACAGAATTAAATCTTTATTACTATATTTCGATAATATAAAGTTAAAAATCAATAAATTGAATTGAGTAAGCAGATCAATTTTTACTCGATTTGGTACATCTTGACTATTCAATAGCATATCTTCCTCCACTCATTAACTATTTCACCAAATACTTCACTTTCCACCAACACAGACATCGATTAACTTTTCCATCAATTTTTTATTAGATCTCTATGATTAGATCTAATAATATTTTGAGCCATATTGTATAGCTTATAGAGCAATAACCATACTATCAACAACTATCTTCCCTAGTCACTCATTTGTAGCCAAAACAATTAATATCACAAAGATTAGGAACTTCAGAAAGAATAATGTTCAAAATCTAAAATACGAAGTTCATTTTATAAAAAATAAAAAAAAGAACTTCAAATATCATGTTTAGCGGTCACGAGCATGAAAATCTAATAAAAACACAATACCATCCGCTAGAGCTGTCTATAAAATAAAAAACGGGTTTGTAGTTGCAAAAGAAGAGCACACAATTTTAAGACCTCTAATTAAAATATGACTTTAGTTCACTGACTAATCGTTGAGCTACCCCTTCCTTGATCAATAAGCAGATCACAATGGTTTTGCCGCTTCATTTTTTGCAAGATGATATTCTTTAGCACTTTGTAAGTACTCTGGATACAAGACCAAGAAATGAGTTTGTTAGAATACAGATAAATAACAAAAGAGTATGACTATAAGGGTGCATTCATGGAGAAACCAAGTATTTATCATTGAAGGTTTGAAATTTTTTGGGGTTGATTGGACAACCAACGAATTTTTGAATTACTTCAAAGAGCATTTCTGGAGGGGTCTTCTTCAAATTTTGGGCAACAACATGAATTGTCTTCCCGCTATCAAAGTAAATATGACTGTTAGCATGACCGCCCTTGCAACCAGCGTGCCTCTCAAATTCTGAAGCACTTAGATACTTCATCTTCTACATAAGACATAAAGCCCCATTAGACATAGAAAAAATTCGCGAGAACAAATAGTAGAAGAGTAAAAGAAAATCTTGCCTCAGATAACTTGTAGTTATCGTAGCTACATAGACAACCTTTCCCTTCAATAACTCCTATAAGAGATTTCTGCACCATGAAAAAAATATACTTAGAACCAAAAATCTTGAAACTTCAAAGAAGAATTCAAGAATCAAAACTTACCTCCAATGACATTGAGCTATATTTCACGGGCACTCCATCAAGTAAACCACTTGACAAGAAACTTTTTACATGGGTAGGGAAAGTGTTCTGCACTTTGTTTTTGGAGCCAACACCAATGTCCTTATCATGATTCAAGGGGTTTTTTCCCTTTCCAGAGTTGTCCCCCCATCAAAATGACTTTTCCTTTTTCTTTTCCAAGTTCGAGATATGTAGCATTTATGCTATTGGTGTTGGATATGTTCACGCATGCATTTGTTGAAATTGGTTTATCACTTACATACTGCAGGACTTGTTTCTTATTAGAGAATAACTCTCTGCCTGAAACATCCATAGCACGTTTCTTTTCGATCTCTACATAAGTCCCTCTACTATTCTTTCTATCAGCTAGAGCATCAACATCATTTAGCATCTCAGGGCCCTTATTCTCAAAATTCTGGAAAGATCATAAAATAATTGTTGAATAGTGGAAAAGAGATTATTAAGGCTATTCTAAGTTTCACCAAAATCTTTTCTGGGAGAAGGCATATATATAAAGGAAGAAATGTTTCAGAGTTAATAGTTAAAAATAAACCTAAAATATCCTATATTTTTTCTAAGTTTCATATATCAACTATTAGGTTGTTTGTGAGTTTTCTACCTAAACTGTCATCAACTATTTATCAAAACTCACATTAAATATTAATTATTTATTTTTCGTACCTGAAAATCACCATCATTCAGGCAGTAAAAGTGAATAACTAATAATTGAGGTGTGTTTCAATAATTGGTTGTGATAGTTCAGGCAGGAAAATCGCACATATCATAGTTCAGGTTTGAAACGCAAAAAAATGTATACTTTAGATGTGTTTTTGACCCTTCACTCAAAATTTCATGTTATTTTGGAAAATATTTTCTACTTCAATTGTATATGGATGCTTGCTATGGAGATAAAATTATCCACCAAACATAGTCGAGAGAGAATGTCTACTATATACTTCCTCCACATACAATAATGTAGAGCAATTAAGATACGTATAAGCAAACCTTTTTGAGAACCTTATTTTTCCCTCACAGATGACTCTGATTCTTAAAGACGCTAATATCAAAAGTACTATAAAAGTAAAAATCAAATTTATCCATCAATCACTACCTTAACATATGTCATCCCCCACCCTCTCAATTCTCATGCCACTTTTAACTATGTCATATTTATGAGCTATCTTGAGAAACAATACTTCATATACAAGTTAGTAACATTTAACATAAAATATATATACCTACATAGAAAGATATAAGTGACTATGTCAACCTTCTCTTATGAGATTATGATTCTTCGCATATGTATAAGCTACACAGTTAAACTAAAACAATCAAAAAAAAATTTAAAAATGATTATTCCATTAGGATATTCCATTTACTTTTTTTTGATGAATCTACCCATGTGATTTTTTTTATCTTTCTTTATTAATTTCCCCTTATCATCATCATTAATTATAGTTTTGACCAACTCTTCCATGTTAAGTTCGTCATCAATTATTTTTTTCCCTTTCTTCTTAGTGTCTAAAGAAAGGAAATCATCACGTGAAATTTGACATGCGAGGAGATGTAATTGCATATAAATGATACCTTTCTATGTAGTAAGAACATGTCCTCGCATACCAAATTTCATGTGATGATTTACTTTCTTTAGTCATTAGAAAGAAAGGGAAAGGAAAATTAATCTTATATGTACCACAAAGAAAAAGATCAAAGTGCACATCCAAGATTGATAAAATAACATTGATCAAAGCAAGAGTATTCTTACAAAATTTTACAATATTATTTTTGAAACAAAATTTACATAATTGTTGAACCTTACGGGTCATCTGATGCCTCATCTCATTTTCAAATGCCCTCACACAAAAGAACGATTCCATTTTCACACACAATAATTTAATCATTTAAAGTTCCGAAATCAAATGCAACGCTCACACTCACAAAGAAGAACACTATGCATGTTTTCACCCATAGATTTACCCATATTTTCCAATTGACAATTGCTTTAGCTCAATCAAGATAAAAAAAAAGTCTTTTCAAGGCTTGTAATGGGGCTGAGTGTCAAGGTATGGTCATTTAGGCTCAGTCACTTTCATCCTCATGAAATGTGGTGCTCACAACACTCCCTTTCCTCTTGTTTCATCATTCATTTTTTTTAGTGTTCATAAGTCATCCCCTTATTCACTCTCCATGGATTGTTCGGAAACCCCATTTCTTTTGTACTTTATTCCATGACTTTTTCTTTTCATTCTTTTCTTCTCTTTTTCTCTCTTTTTTTTGTATGGAGGGGTTCCATTTTTCTCAACACCATGGGTTAAAGGAGACTTTCCTTGTATTTGTTGACTTGCCCTTTTCTTTTCACCACACCCCCAACTTAGACTTTTGGCCTAAGTTGGTTATTCAATCAGCCACAAGATCATGAGGATTATGGGTCAATAAAAGGTGGCAATGCTATCATGTTTCTTCCAAGAAGGGTAAGGCTCAAGAGATGTTCAAAAGAGGTTCACACACACTCACAAGGTAGACCACAAAAGAGGTATATGTCAAATTGGCTCACACTCTTCGAAGTTGACTAAGATCCTATAAAGAGATAGCCTCACTTAGTCAACCAGACCAACGGGGAAAATTCTAGGTGTTATCATGCACGGTTCACAGTAAGCTCATCACACAAGGCATTGATACCAGAGTCAAACAATACTCCACACTTTCACTAGTGTGCAACGATCATTACAAGATGCTAGTACAACAACTGACTCTCAATTAATTGTATTTGGCTTGAACCATAACAATTTCTCAACATAAAAACATTAATCTTAAAACACAAGGTAGATGAAATAAGAACAGATCAAAGCACACGTTAGAGATTGAAAAAAAAAAAGAACGCAAATCAAATTAAAGCATACACTAGAGATTGAAAAAAGGAAAATAAATCAAAGCAAGAAAGATTTATTGTAGATTTTACCATAGCCTTACAACATTTTAAAAAAATTCTAGTGCAACAAAATAAATGTTGAAACAATTCAAATCGAAAACTTTACCATTTTAAGTATTTCAGATGCAGTGCTCCAACACTGAATAGCAAGTATCGAGCTCTATGAGTACTAAGATTTGTCCCTTCAATAAAAGCACAAAATGAAAATAAAATAATTAAAAGAAATTATGGGAACCTCATAAAAATAATGTAAAAAAAAAAGAGAATCTCACTCTCAACCTGAAAACTCAATTATCGAAAATACCGCCAAACATAGCACCAAAAATATTTAAGAATAAAAATAAATAAATAAATAAATGATTCTTACATGTAGATATGCTAAGTTCATAATTATCACTAAAATTATTTCTCTAAAATAAGTAAATAAACAAAAAAATTACTTCTTTTTTTGATATTTTAAAACTTTTAAACTAGAAAGTTCCTATGATACATTTGTTATTAGAAAGAAGAGATTTAAAAACAAAGAAAGAAGAGATTATCACTGGTGAATTCTATATGATAAATTCCGGCATAATTAATGAATTAAGCAAAGTGAAGGAGTTTTTGGCAGAGTAGTTCACCTCAATCGTAGCTCACCAATGAATTCTCCGTAATGAATTTTGGTCAAATCAATTAGAGAGGGTTTTTAGTTCAGTTTTTTGCTATATTTTCAAACACTGAAATTTGAAAAGTTAGAGGAAGAGAAAGCTCAAGGGTTTATATATAAGTGTGATGAGTAATTCTATACAATGCGGTTTACGAAAAAAAATTGTTATGTCTAGTCGATTTGACTGTGTTATGTCACGAGAGTCTTGTTAAAGAATCTTAAATGAAATGTCATAATTAGTAGTTGTTTATTGGGCCCGCTAGAATGGAATAAACAATAAAAAAACATTGATTAATTAAATTTATGGTTAAAGGTTAGTAAATAGAATATTATTCATATATATACTTTCTTTGTCCTAAATTACTTGATCACATTTATTTTGAGAATTCAATTTTATTTATCAATAGTGTGAAAAGTATTTACATGGTCAAACATGATTTAAGATTTGAATAATTTTCATTAATAATAAGCGGAGAAACCTAATATTAACTTTGAATGACACCATTAATGAACAATTAGTAATAATTAAGGAATCTTAGATGTAAACAAACAAAATTTAAAATAAAAGGGTTGAGGTTCTAATGGCACAACAATATTCTGATAAAGATTATGCGTATTCGGTATTTATACCAACTCTAAAAATACATGAAACATATCATAACTTACATTTTCACTGCTAATAATGATTAATTAATAAAGATTATATATTTAATTTTGACTTAACCATAATAAAGTAGTATAATTTAATGTAAATAACGAAAAATCCATGGTATTGGTATTGTATCATTTTAATTTCGATATCATGTTTTGTAACAAATTATTATGTCTTATAATCAATTTCTCTTCCAACTACTCCCTCATAGGAGTGTTCATAAATCGATAAAAAATCAAATCAATCAATCGAAGTAGAAAAAAAGACTTAAAAGAATTGAAATATTTTCAAAATAAATTTATTCATATATATACTTATTCTGTGATCACACTTACTTCAAGAATTTAAATTTAAATTCAATTTTTCTTCATTAACTTTTTACAGATTTAGTATTTTTTTTTCATATATGCTCATTTTATCCTAAATTGCTTGATCACGCTTGGTTTCATAATTTAAATTTTCTTGACTAACAATTTTTAAATTAAGTAAATAATTTTTCTATATATATGCTCATTCATCCTAAACTAGTGTTTGTCTCTCCTGCAACCATAGGCGGGGGAGAGGATGTCGTTGTCACGGATTTTCGTTCATTACTTAAAATTTAAATATATATTTTTTCTCATCAATATGTGCGTTCTACATAGACCTCTATTCTTGAGAAATGACTGCAAAGTGGAATTTTCGAACACACTACCAGTGGATATAGTGGAAGTTACTCCACTATTACACGCCTTGAGTATGTGTGCTTTTCTAGTAAAACGAGTTTGTTGATACTAAATGCAAACTTTTTAAAAAATAATAATAATAATAATAATAATAATAATTTAGTCAAACCCTCTCTACGACAGTCTTATTTGTTATATACACGTATGATAACATTATATTTAAATATTATTTTCACTTTTACAACTAAAGTAAATATGCTCCAAAAAATCATGGACTCTTTTATAACTTCACCTAATTGGTGCATTGGCATGAAAAGTGTAACACCCCGTTTACTAGAATAGACCAGATTGTAGCTTTCAGGTATTGCAAGTGGCACCCACGGGCACCATCCACGGGCCGTAGGAGGACCCACGGTCCCTCCTACAGGTTCGTAGTTCGCACCTGCGACCCTCTTAGTAGAAGCCCCAGGAAAAACGGCTAAGTGCTGACCCACGGCCAGACCTATGGTCCGTAGGCCAGGCCACGGTCCGTGGTCTTGGTCCGTTGATCAGCCCCCCAGTAACCCAGCTCCAGTCGCAACTGACGATAAACCAGCATGGACCGTCAGTTCATCGACAGTCCGTCGGTGCCGTCCGTTGGTCACTCCGACAGCAATTAAGTCGGGGGTCTTTTGGTCTTTCTCTATTTTGTTGGACCCCTAAACTACATCGTTTTAACCCTACACTACATGGTTTTAGTTAGTTTTAGACTAGAAACATAACAAGAACTTACCTAAGTCAAATCATTCATCAAAACTTAGAAAGTTAGAAAGCTAAGACAAGAAAGAAGTCAAGAACCCTAGTTCAAGAACGCAACAAGTTTCCTCTAGTTCCAGCTCTGAAATCGAAGGATTTCTCCGTGGAATTCGTCACCAGGTATGTGGTATTTCACTAGTGGGTTCCTTTCACCCATTAGGTCCCAATAATTCAGTCAGATTCTTGATTCCCTATTATTAACTAGGAATAGGATTTCTAGAACTTCAGCAGATTATCATGAACTAGTTAATTTAATGTTCCAAATCAGATTATCATGTTAGTACTCAGTTTCTCATATGATATTCAGAACCCTAGTTGTCTATATTCATTAGTTCATGAATTATGCATGCTAGGTCAGATTATTCAGTTATTACACATATACACATGCTTCAGTTTACGAATGTCACATTATAAGTCATAATTGTTGCATTCTCAGTTTGCATGTCAGTTTTGAGCTATCTAGTATATTACAGAAATTCAGTATTAATGTGTTAATCAATTAATCTATTGGGAGTAGCATAATACCGAGTCGGACTAGGGTCAGTCACTCATATAGTCCTAGAACTACGAGCCACGTAGGTTGTAAGTCCCCTCTGTAGGCATTATTTTAGTGATCACACCAGCATGCCGCTACACCTTTGGCCAGGTGTATTGGGTCCTCTCGATGGGCCGTATACATCGGACTCCACATTCAGCTCATGTGGTTTCATGTCAGTTATTAGTAGCTCTCACCGTTTAGTCAGACTCTATTGCATTGACCACATTTCAGTACAGTCAGTTTTAAGTATCAACATGTTATAAAAGTGGTCTTTGTATTCAGTTAGTTCAGCACTCATTATCTATATCATGTTTAGTTTATATCCTTGCTTTATTGCTTGTTCAGTTATATGTTATTTCAGCTTTACTCTATCCTACATGCTCAGTACCTCTCAAGTACTGATGTATACTCTGCGCTACATCTTCTCGTGATGTAGGTTCAGGTTCTCAGCTTCCAGATGACTCATAGATCGGTTCCCGATCTCTAGCTCAGTAGCATCAGTGGTGAGTCCTCATTCTCCGAGGACAATAGTTATGTTATTCACTTCAGTATTTCAGTCTTTGAGTTTTAGTTTTGCTAGATTTAGTTGGGGTATGTCCCAGTACTTCTAGTTAGTTAGAGGCCATTATTAGAAATAGTTAGATTCAGCTTAGTATTTGAGTTGATATTTCTCTTGTATTAAACTCTCAGATTTGATATATGCAGTTTTAGAATGGGTATTCCCCATCACTTTCATTTTTATGATATTAAGCTTCCGCATCAGTTATTATTATTCTTCGTATGCTCATGTCATGCAATCAGGGTTAGCTTTGGGTCACTTGTGATCCTAGGTCCCGTTTCCGCGTCTCGGGGGTAGCTCGGGGCATGACAAACATGGTATCAAAGCACTAGGTTTAAGTGTCCTAGGATATCTGAAAGGCCGCACTAGGTAGAGTCCTTTTCATGGGTGTGTAGTGAGCACCACATCTAATGAGAGGGAGGCTACAAAGTGTTTTAAGAAAAATCTTCAATTTTTTGTTACTCTTATCGTGCGTAAGGTATGATCTAATTCCATTCTAACTCGACGTTCTACGTTTCAGTGATCATGACTCCTCGTAGAGCTAACGCCAAGAATGTGAATGCTAGGAACACAAACGCAACTCCTCCAGTCCTAGATCAAGAAGTTTCGAATGTAGAGTTCCGAAACAACATTTAGATGTTGGCTCAGAGTGTGACTAACCAGAACAATCAGTGGGTTACAGTTCTAGCAGGTACTAATGTAGGGTCAGCTACAGCCACAGTGCGAGATTTTGTTAGGATGAATCCACTAGAGTTCTTAGGATCGTAGATTGGTAAGGATCCCCAGAACATCGTTGATGAGGTCAACAAGATCTTTGAAGTGATGCAGGTGATTGGGAATGATCGGGTTGAGTTAGCATCTTACCAACTTAAGGATGTGGCTCATATCTGGTACACTCAGTGGAAAGAGAACAGGGCTACATATGCCGCTCCTATCACTTGGGATTGCTTTAGTGAGACTTTTCTGGACAGGTTCTTTCTAAGAGAGTTAAGAGAGCAAAAACTGAGGAATTTATGAACTTAAGGCAAGGTAGCATGACAGTCCAAGAATATGGGCTCAAGGTTACCCAACTCTCCAGGTATACTCCTCACATGGTTGCTGATTCCAGGGCCCAAATGAATATATTTTTATATGGAGTGTCAGACTCGGTGAAGACAGAGTGTAGAAATGCAATGTTACTTGAAGATATGACAATCTCTAGGCTCATGATCCACGCTTAGCAGGTTGAGGGTGATAATCTTAGGGAAAAGGCCAAGGAGAATAAGAAGACTAGGACCGACAACTATGACTATTCTCAATAGAAATCGGGTGGTGGAAATGGCTCACAGTCTAAGTAGAAATTTTCAGCTCCAACACCTTCATCAGCTAGTGTTCCATTCTTCAAGTTTCGTAATGATTAGAAGGGTAAGGCATCAGGCTCTAAGACTCAAGGTAGTGTTTCAAGCACCAGAACCTACCCAACTTGCCCTAACTATGGTAAGAACCATCCGGTTGAGTGCCTTGCAGGAAAGGAAAGATGTTTTGGGTGTGGTCAGTCCGGTCACAGGTTGAAAGATTCTCCTTCTAGACAGGGTCAAGGAGGTAACACTGGTAGAGCTCAGTCCACAACTTCAGCAGCACCAGCAAGTCGCCCGACTCAGGCTCGCAAGGATCAGGAAGACTCTCCTGATGTAGTCACTGGTACGTTACGAGTCTTTGACTTAGATGTTTATGATTTGTTAGATCCAAGGGCTACTCTTTTCTTTGTAACTCCTTATATAGTCGTCAAATTTGATGTTAGTCCAGAAACACTTTCAGAACCCTTCTCAGTCTCTACTATATTCAGTGAGGCTAGACGGGTACACAAAAATTGCCCAATCACAGTCTCTAAGAAAGTCACCTCAGTAGATCTTGTAGAGTTAGAAATAGTAGACTTTGATGTCATTTTTGGCATGGATTGGTTACATTCCTGTTATGCCTCAGTCAATTGTAGAACTAGGATTGTTCGTTTTCAGTTTCCAGACGAACCAATCTTAGAATGGAAGGGTAGTAGCCTAGCTCCTATAGGTCGATTCATTTCTTACCTTAAGGCCAGAAAGATGATTTCTAAGGGTTATCTCTATCATCTAGTTCGGGTTAAGGATTCAAGCTCCGAAACCCCAACTCTTGAGTCAGTTCCCGTTGTCAATGAGTTCCCAGTAGTGTTTTTAGAAGATCTTCCCGGAGTTCCTCCCGAAAGGGAAATCCACTTTGGAATTGATCTTCTACCAGATACCCAGCCTATTTCTATTCCTCCTTACAGAATGGCTCCAGCAGAGCTTAAGGAATTGAAAGAGCAGTTGAAAGACCTTCTACATAAGGGCTTCATCAGACCTAGTATTTCCCCATGGGGTGCACCAATGTTGTTTGTGAAGAAGAAAGATGGTTCTTTCATAATGTGCATTGACAATAGGTAGTTGAACAAGGTCACAGTCAAGAATAAATATCACATCCCCAGGATTGATGACTTGTTTGACCAACTTCAGGGTGCTATTCATTTCTCAAAGATAGACCTCAGATCGGGTTATCATCAGCTCAAAGTCAGAGATAGTGACATTCTGAAGACAACCTTCAGAACTCGGTATGGTCATTATGAATTTATAGTTATGTCATTTGGACTAACCAATGCTCCTGCAGCTTTCATGGATTTGATGTACAGAGTGTTCAAGCAGTACTTGGACTTGTTCGTTATCGTCTTTATTGATGATATCCTCATTTACTCTAGGAATGAGGAAGAACATGCGAACCATTTGAGGGTTGTCCTGTAAACTCTCAAAGATCGTCAGTTATTCGCCAAATTTAACAAGTGCGAGTTTTGGTTACAATCAGTTGCCTTCCTTGGGCATATTATGACTAGTGAAGGAATTCGAGTAGATTCCCAGAAGATAGAAGCAGCGAAAGAATGGCCCAGACTTACCTCTGCTATTGATATCAGAAGTTTCTTAGGTCTACCGATCCAGCGAAGGGATCCAAGTGGATTCCCAAAAAATAAAAGCAGTGACACAATGGCCTAGATGTACCTCTCCTACAGATATCAGAAGTTTCTTGGGTCTAGCAGGTTATTACAGAAGGTTTGTGGAAGGATGTTCATCCATAGCCTCTTCATTGACTAAGTTGACTCAGAAGAAAGTCAAGTTTTAGTGGTCAAATGATTGTGAGAAAAGCTTTGCAGAACTGAAAACTAAGTTGACTACAACTCTTATTCTGACTCTACCAGAGGGCTCAGATGGTTATGTTATCTATTGTGATGCGTCCAGAGTCAGCCTAGGTTATGTGTTGATGCAGCGAGGTAAGGTTATATTTTATGCTTCTAGATAGCTTAAGGTGTATGAGATTAACTATCCAACTCATGACCTCGAGCTAGCAACAGTGGTGTTTGCGCTTAAGATTTGGAGATATTACCTATATGGTGTTCACGTAGATGTATTCACAGACCATAAGAACATTCAGTATGTGTTCACCCAGAAAGAGTTAAATCTTCGCCAGAGGAGGTGGCTTGAGTTCCTCAAGGACTACGATATGAGTGTGCATTACCATCCTGGTAAGGCCAATGTGGTAGCAGATGCTCTTAGCAGACTATTTATGGGTAGTGTAGCGCATGTTGAGGAAGAAAGAAAAGAACTAGCAAAGGACGTTCACAGACTTGCTCGCTTAGGAGTTCGCCTTATGAGCATATCAGATGGTGGTGTAACAGTTTAGAATGGGTCAAAATATTCTTTGGTAATGGAGGTGAAGGAAAAGCAAGATAGTGATCCGATATTTCTTGAACTAAAGGGTGCAATCCACCGGCAGAGGGTTGAGGTTTTCTCCCAAGGGGGAGATGGTGTGCTTCATTATAAGGTCGACTATGTGTTCCTAAGGTGGGAGAGTTGTGACAACATATTCTTGCAGAAGCCCATAACTGCAGATATTCTATTCATCCAGGTGCCACTAAGATGTATCGTGATCAGCGGGAAGTCTATTGGTGGAATGACATGAAAAGAGATATAGCAGATTTTGTGGCTAAGTTCCTCAATTGCCAGCAAGTCAAGGTAGAACATCAGAAACTAGGAAGTATGGCTCAAGAGATCAACATTCCTACTTGGAAGTGGGAAGTGATCAACATGGACTTCATCACAGGGTTACCTAGTACTCGCAGACAACGTGACTCCATTTGGGTGATAGTTGATAAAGTTACTAAGTCTTCACTCTTTTTGGTTGTGAAGACTACAGATTCAGCAGACGACTACTCCAGGCTTTACATTAATGAGATAGTTAGGTTGCATGGGATTCCTTTGTCCATCATCTCAAATAGAGGTCCTCAGTTTACCTCTCATTTCTGGAAGTCATTTCAGAAAGGTCTTGGTACTCAGGTTAACCTTAGCATAACATTTCATCCGTAGACGGATGGTCAGAAAGAGCGTACCATTTAGACCTTAGAGGACATGTTGAAAGCTTGTGTGATCGATTTCAAGGGTAGTTGGGATGATCACCTTTCTCTTATAGAGTTCGCCTATAATAATAGTTACCATTCCAGTATTCAGATGGCCCCTTATGAGGCATTGTATGGGCATAGGTGTAGATCTCCAGTTGGCTGGTTTGAAGTAGGTGAAGCAGCCTTGATAGGGCCAGATTCAGTTCATGATGCTATGGAGAAATTGAAACTCATTAAAGATAGACTAAAGACAGCGCAGAGTCGCCAGAAATCTTATGCAGATGTAAGGAGAAGGGAACTAGTGTTCCAAGTTGATGATTGGGTTTTACTGAAACTGTCACCTATGAAATGAGTTATGAGGTTTGTCAAGAAAGGGAAGCTCAGTCCTAGACATGTAGGCCCTTACAAGATCTTGAAAAGGGTGGGTAAAGTTGCTTATGAGTTAGAATTGCCAACAGAACTAGCAGCAGTGAATCCAGTTTGTCACATTTCATTGTTGAAGAAGTGTGTGGGTGATCCAACAACTATTGTGCCTTTAGAAAGTGTGGCTGTGAATGATAGTCTCACGTATGAAGAGGTACCAGTTGAAATCCTTGATCGTCAGGTTCGAAGGTTAAGGAACAAAGAAGTTGCTTCAGTTAAGGTTTTGTGAAGGAGTCAGTCTATAGATGGAGCTATTTGGGAAGCAGAAGCAGCCACAAAGGCCAAGTGTCCTCACCTCTTTCCTTCTGATTCCATTCCAGCTTGAGGTAATACTTCCTCTTCAGTTTTTCAGTCATTCATGCGTAAATTCAGTCTTAGTATCATGTTCCTTCAGTTTGTACTTGCATTTTCAGCATATTTGCATTTTCTTGGAACCCAGTTCAGTCAGAAATCAGTCTTCAGTGTTTAGGGGTAGGGTTGTAACTCTTTCCCTCAATTTCAGCTAGTATAGTCTTTATTCAAGAACAAATGTTCCCAAGGGGGAGATAATGTAACACCCGGTATACTAGAACATACGAGATTGTAGTTTCAGGTGTTACAGGTGGCACCCAGGGGCACCATCCACGGACCGTAAGAGGATCCACGGTCTGTCCTGCAGGTCCGTGGTTCGCACCTGCGACCCTCCTCCCAGAAACCCCAGGAAAAATGGCTAAGTGCTGACCCACGGCCAGAGCTACAGTCCATAGGCCAGGCCACGGTCCATGGTCGTGCTCCGTGGATCAGGCCCCAGTAACCCAGCTCTAGTCGTGAATGATGGCTCACCAACATGGACCGTTAGTCCATCGATGCTCCGTCGGTGACGTCTGTCGGTCACTCCGACAGCAGTTAAGTCGGGGTCTTTTGGTCTTTTCCTATTTCATTGGACCACTAAACTAC